TTTATCAATTATTTTTTCTTTCTATATATATTATATTATTATTTCATTTGTAGTATTACGGAATTAAATTTTTTTTTTAATTTTTTTTTTTTGTACCCTGTTAGAATTTTGGAATATTAATTATAATCAATATTATAGTTTTCCTCAAAACATTATCCCATTATAAGCAGAACTTATAAATCTATGTATGAAGAGGGAAAATAGCAAAGAACACTATGAATATAATAATAATTATAGAAGAATATTATAAATCATGCAATATTATAAAATTCAGCATCATTATATTATATTTCTTAAAAAGATAAAAATAGATAATTCCATGGGGAGGGTGTGATAATATTTCAAAATTCTCATTTATTCCTTTTATGCTCTATGCAACATTATCATTATCGTTTCTTATAATAATTAATTTGTGTGATTCCTGAAAATATATATTTATTATTTTTGCATTTTATTTTGATAAGCTATATTAAGTGTATAAAAAAGTCATTATATTTATACATGGTGATGTATTATTAATATATAATCGCATAAATGGAAATGCTTTTTTCATGGTATATTTGAAAACAGTATTCCATATTTAAATACTGTAAAATTAAATAAGAAAATATAAGTGTATAAAATATAATACTTAATGTATTATAGTTGAATGTAGTATTACAAACAGTGAATGTATTTAATATTGGAATAGCAGTTATTGTAAATTTTAATTTATTGACAACAAAGTATATTTACTAGAAAAAGTATATAACTATATATATTGCTTTTCAGCAGAAATAGGTATTAAAAAAGAAAATAAAAACAAATATATATAAATAAAAAGAGCCAAATGATTAATTACATAGATAATACCTTTCATAATATAAAATTTGATAATATTATAATTTTAAAACAAATATAACAAAAATAACTTTATTTGATTCATCAGTTTTATTTTTTTCTGTAGAATTTATAATGTTACTTTTATAATATGCTTCCTTTGTAACCTTTTTTAAATAATACCCTTGTCGGATTAACATAACTTATTCTTCCTTATTATTTAATATAAGAATTAATAATTTATATCTTTCCAGAAATATATTGTTCATGTATTTTGTACACTAAAGATCTTTTTTACTAAGAATGAGTTTTTAATTCAAAAAATTTCCAGATATTTATTGAACAGCACACATTAAAATATGTTTCCATATTGCATAATATCCATAAAAAAAATGCATTATTTGATAATATACGACAATGAATTGTAAAAACATATATATTACAAAAAGACTCATTTTATCAATAATTTTTATTCATTTTTTATAATATATTTCTTCATTATAATTACATTATATAATGTATCTTAAATGAATGTATCAGAGGAAAATTTTTTACATAAATATTTATATATCAATGAACATTTTATCCTGTAATGTATATTATGTAAAAGGGAATACATATAATCTGTTATTAAAAATTTCATTAGTTCTATTTATTATTACATTGAAATTACTCTCATCTGTATGCCATGCATAGCCTTAGCCGTTCATGTTTTTATTTATGCTTTTAATTATTACCAATGTTCACTTTTACTTTTTATATACACATAATATTTTTTCACTTAATTATCTGTTAAAATTTTCACATTTATTTAATCTTATAAAAAAAATTGTCTAGTTTGATACATAAAGATAAATGATAAATATAATTATTTAATAACAATTATTTATTAAACATGTGTAAATATGTAATAAACGCGTCTTTATTAATATTATTAAGTTTAAAGCATTCAAGGGACTAGCAGGCATAATATATTTTACAATATTATTACTGGAATTATAATTGTAATGTTATGTAATATTTAATAAGTATTTTATTCTATAAAAATGGAATATATTGGAAATCTAATGTAATCATATATAGAGAATAAATTTATGTTATTTTATATGTTTATATAAATACTGTATGTATTATGAAATATGAAAAAATATATCAGAAGTATATATGAATATTAAATTTAACAATGTACACATGTTATAAAACAAGAACATAACTAATATAAGGCTACACACTCCTCCATATAATTTTTAAAAGCATATGAATTCAATGACAATATTTACATATTTTATATTATATATACATTTACAAGTACAGTGGATATGATATTTTTAACATCAGGTCTTTAGAATATTATTTAAGAATTAATCCTACAAAAAATAATATGTCATTTTATATAAATAATTATATATCACTTAATAAAATGAAATTTTTTGCACCTCGATTTGTACATGCAATTTATTATATTAATCATATATATCTACTGTGGATTATATGGAAGAAATAAAACAAAAAAAAAATTGGCATATTTAAATAAAACTATATACTATATTTCATAAATAAAAAATCAATTTCAGTAAATGTTTTACAAAAAAAAGTGATAAATAAAAAAATAAAAGTATGTGTTATCCTGAGTTGCATAAAACTGAATGATTTATTACATTCCTGAATCTTATTTAAAATGAATATATTTATAACAACAATTATCAGGATCTATATACATTTCTACTAATGAAAATATGAAGAAAAATTGTAGCTATAAAAAATTATTCTTTTTATTATGATTTATCGTTTGATTAAATTTTTGAAGTAATGTTAATTTAATACAATTATGATTAGAGGGTTTTCATTTTAAAGGATTTTATCGAGCATGTATTTACGCAGATAATATTTAGCATAACATTTTTATAAATGAATTTTTCGTTTAAATCTCCTAGTTTTGCATTAAGCTTAAAGTATTAGAAATTCTGCTTTTAAATTATTTGTATAATAATCTTATAGAATATGGTATGCTAATTTAACTATTTTATAAATTATTTAATATAAAACTTTCCTTGTAGGAAAACTATGATATAAGTATAAAAATGATAATTAATAAATTTTAACTAGTATAAATACCAAAACAAAACATTTTATAATATACAATAAAACTTTAATTTATTTTTCACACAGCTAAAAAGTATTATAATATCTACAAGATGAATTTTTTTTAAGAAATATCAATGATCTATATTTAATACAATGTTGTGATTTTATAATATATCTAAATTAAATTATATGATACTTCTAAAGTTCATAAATGAATAAAATAATCATTAAAAAAGAATATATCTTCATATGAATCAAATAAAATTCATACAGAATAAATACCATTTTATATATTACATGCTTATTTGATATATTCACATAAAAATGCACACTAAGCTTCATATGATGAATTCAAATATCATGCTACATAAGCATTATATAATTATATCTATTATGTTACATGAATAAAGACAAGTAACACCTCTTCATGCAAAAACTGTTTCACAATTATTTGTAAAAAGTATTAATCCATTGTTAGGTAATTAAGTACTTAATGTCTTTGTGATGCATACTTCTGAAAATGAAATAATAATTGAAAACAAAACAGACAATAAAAAAAAATAAATATTTACTGAAATACATGGAAAAAAATATTTTCTTCAATATATTACAATAATAAAGATAAATGAACACAGTAATACTTAAATTATTTGATATGTCATATTTTCTATTATTATTTATTAAATGATCATAATAGTGTATTAATTAATTTGTCCAACGTACGTAATGTAACTTATAAATACAAATGATACACCTAATTTCTTAAACTAGCATTTACATTATAATTGTATTTTTGTAAGAAAGATAACAACTCAGTTTTTTAAAAAAACTAATTTATTAACTTATAAGAATATAGTTGCTATATATATTAACTAAAAATAAAAAAAGGATGCATTCGTAGATTTATAACATTTAATTACTATGTATTAGGCTCAAACTTAAATAAAAATAATATATTATTAAATATAAGATGTTTCAAATTTAAAAATAAATAATATATGCTGCAAGTATGAAAATTAGTATATTTCAATCATTTATTAGGTAATAGTAAAAATATTACTATCCCTATTCTCCAAATACAGCGTTCTAAGTAATAAATTATAAATTTATGTAAACTAATGCTGGAAAAACTATAAAAGTTATTAATTCTTCTACGGTTCATAAAAAGAGAGAAATCTACAATAAATATTACATATAAATAATGTATAAAAAAATAATTTATGAATTAAAAGCTTTTATATTCTTATCTTTTAAATATGATATTCTATAAAATTCCCCTTATTTTATTCCTACAAGGAATTAAATATTATTGCTCTATACATATATAATAAAAAGTACTTTACACCTCATTATTATTATTATAATATTTTATAAATTATTAGTGTTAACGCAAAATATATTTTCTATTATTATCATAAACACTTAACTTTTATGCTTATAAAATTATATATATTCACATGAATTTTCCACAAATATATTCCTTTTCGAGCCTCATATATATAGTATGATGCATGAATAAATCATAGATAACATAGAGAGAAATGTCAATCTGAATGGAATATATATATTTTTTTTTTTAATATATAAAGAATTTATAAATAGATAAATCATTATGTTTTTTTAACATACTTAATTTATTTTTAATTATATATATTCAACAAGCATGTGTTTTTTTTTTAATTTTATTTTATTCATTCTATTGTATATATTAATGTTATTAAACTTATAGGATAATCATAGTTATTTATTATTTTATTCGATTCTGATAATAGAAAATGTAAAAATTTTATATCATTCTCTATATAATTACTTTTTTTTTTCATGTATATATATTTTATTTCATATCTAAAAAAGTTAATATTTACTTATAATTAATTTTACATACTAAATATTATTTTATTTATTTTTACTAACATAATTTATACATTTGTAAAAAAAATGTTTTTTTTTATTAATTGTCTCAAAATGTCTGTATTATTTTTGTAAAAAAAAATATATAACTATATATATATTTTAGATATTTAATTTTTAATTATAAATAGTAAATGTTTTATTTATGAGACTTTATTAAAAATTATATTATTTTTAATTTATATATGTGCCAATGTAAGCGTATAATCTTTGTTTAGAAAATTATTTTGTGGTATAAATTCTTATTTAATATCATTTTTTGCCTAATTTATCTAATATTGTGATTAATCATGACAAATTGTGTATATTTTAATATTTAAAGAATAAACAATTCGTTATGTTATATTTAGCACATTGTTTTCCTAATTTATATTAATGAATTTTTTTAATTTCATATATATTCATTTTTTTTAATTATCTTATTAGTCTAAAAATCCGTTTACAGATAAATGCTGCCACGAAGCATTTTTTCAAGCACCTGTTGAAGTGAAAAATTTTATATTAGAAGATCATGGAGATATTGTAAGAACAAATGATCCAATATTGATAAGTATTGCTGCTTATCTTATTGAAAATATTAATAAAGCTAAAACTCTTTGTGCTTTACATAGTTCAAATGATGAATATGAAAGTTACCAAAAGGTGTGCAACAAATTATGCGACTATTTGAATAAATGGTTAAATGAAAAATGTGCTATATATACATTTAGCGGAAACTGTCATAACAATAAGGAAAAATGGAATAAATATATTGAAAAATTGTGGATTTTGTTAAAAAAAGTAGATCATTCAAAAAATTGGTGTGAGAGAAAAACAAGAGTATATTCATTAGAATTTCCTAATAATTTAATACCCGATATTTGCAATAATAACAATATTAGTTTATCCCTTTCTAATTTTGATGATAAAGCAAAAATTCAGCAGATTGTACATAGTTCCTTATCTAGTAAAACATATTATATATCTAGTTCTTCCGCTATCGGATATACAATATTTGGGATTATTATAATAATTATTATTTTATATAACGTAATACAAATTATACAATTATTCCCTGTATATTTCTCTTTTTAAAATTCTGAACAACATCAATAATAATAAATATATATGTTTTTTTTTTTTTTATATGCTACAGTTTAGTCCCGAGAATTCTAGGATAAGAAAAATAATGAGAGAGGGTAAAAGTGCGTTAAGAAACATTTATAATAAATTGACACAAGAAATATATAAACCTTACATAAATTATGATAAATTGTCGGAAACTACAGGTTTCAATGTATTATATAATAATTTTAAGAGTAGAAATATTTAATATGAAAAGGTGTTTACTTTTAAATGTCATAAAGACTATGTGACATATATATCATACTAATAATTGTTCCTTTAAATACACTATGTACATTCTTTTAATATGGATATGTTATCATTTTATATGTATTTTATGGATTAAATATTGCATTGATTTATTCAAAAGAGTATTTTACATAAATAAATTAATTATAAAATCTGTTTTACTTATATAAAATTATAAATTATGAATAAATTATAAATCTAATAAATTAAAAATTAATACAACATATTCATGTGAATAACATTGAATTCCTTTGAATTTTCTATCTCACAAAATTATTAATATCATACTATAGACATTTATAATATTAGAATATATTCTATATTTATTAATATTTTAATTATTTATATCACAGGAATTATTAAGTGTTTAGTAAATTTTCTATTATTATGATATATTTTATAAAATTATTTAACTCCCATAAATATAACATTACATAAAGATTATTTTAAATAAAATATTTCTTCTATATTAGTCATGGTTCATTTACATGTTTGACGATTTCCATTATTGTATATTCGTCATTTTTTGTAATGTTCCTTTATATCAGACATCATGTCCTTAAATAAGCATTTTTATCAAATTGCAACCTTTATATATCGGAATAACTTGACAAAAATTATGTAAAAACATAATTCTTTTATTATGCAATATATAATATATATTAAATTATATACTATAAAATTTCATCGATGAATAATAATATATATAATCTGAAAAAATATCTTTGTATTATTATGTATAAATTCATGATAAGAATATATGCTAAATATATTCAATATTAATGGTGTTCAAAAGGATTATAGTTTATTTGTATTCATAACGTATATAATAATATAAGTGTTTTTTATAAATTCAACATTTATCATATATATAAATATTCTAACAAAAATTATACTATTAATTTCGCTAATTATAGTTATATTCGCTCAAAACTATAGAACAAGCTTTTAATTATACTTATCGTAAAATAATCATGGAATTATAGGCATTATAATCTATTTGAATAATTTATTATGTTATCCATAATGAGTATTCCACCTGTATTCAATATATACTAAGTAATTTTAAAATTTGTTCTATATCATCAACTTAATACTAGTCATATTTTACATCTTTCTAATACATTTAAATTATATTTTTTTTCTTTAATCATATAAATTATATTACGTGATATTATGTTTTTTTATAATCTATATTTTAATTATTTTACCACATTTTTTATTTATATTATTTAATTTATTTTTTTATATTCCTTATAAGTTTAATATATTAGAGAACATTTCCTTATTATGTGTTTTTATAGTATTCAACTTTTATTACACTTCAATAAGAGAAAAATTAATATAATTACACTTATGATATGGTAATAGAAGCATTTTTAATTAAGATAGTACAATCTATTATTTAGTAAGGTTTAATAAATAATCAAATTCTATAATGTAATGTCACATATATTATTATTCAAAAAAATATATTTATTTTAATTTTTTCTATGGTATTAAAAGTTGGATGGAAAACATTATGAATATTATGTTCCTTACATTTGTTTTCAATTCAGGTATATTTATTTGGTTTTAGGTTTAGAAAATATTACTACTATATTATATATAGTTTATAGATAATGAATTTTGCTGAAATTATTTATCACATGTTGTTTTCATTTGATTTTTATATATACAGTTTTTGCTTACATTGACATTTAATTTATGTTTTTTTTTTTTTTTTTTTTATTTACAAGAATTAATTCTTTTTTTAATTCATATAATCTATTTGAATTATCTATATAAATGTGTAAAAATATATAATTACTTGGTCTTCAGTTCCATATGTTAATTATTTTTTATTTATGTTTATATTTTTCAGTTTTGGTTTATTATATAGTAAATATTTGTCTTATATACATGTATCTTTGTAAAAAATTTGGCTCATTTTTAAATATAATTTAATTTTTTAATATCAATCTTATATTCCTTTTTAATATATATGTATATTTCTTATAATCCTTTTCTATTTGTGTAACATCATATTTTTTCTATTTTAATAATTTATGCTTTTTAATGGATTTTTGTATTATGTAAAATAATGTTTTATTATTAACACATCTTTATTCACACATTGCATTAATTCTGTACTAAGAATATTTTCTATATTATTTTTATTATTGTTTATTCTATAATAATTCATGAATTATATTATCATATTTATATATTTGTTTACCTTTCTAAGCATTCTATTAAGCATTTAGTGGTACTTTGATTATTTATATTACCTATTATTAATACAACATAATATGTATGTATATACATTTATATATATATATTTCTGATTTTTTACCGTTGCATTTTTTCATGTATCCAATCTTAATTAACTTCTCTGTTAAAATTTTTAATAATGTAATAATAGGCCTTATTGAATTTATATTTTTATCTATGTACATTTATACTCAGTATCCATTTTGCTCTTTCTTTAATAAGCATCTATATAATATTTAAAAAATTTATATAAAAATGAGAATTTTCAAGATATACGTTGACATAAAAGATGGCTATATATATAAATATCTTATTATATATTATAATACAATGTAGTAATGATTTTAAAACGTATATAATATCTCGCTGTATAAAAAGAATAGAACATTAATGGTATTATGCTAATATAAGGTATAAGATTTAAAGCCTATGATAATAGATAGAAAATTATTTAACTATATTTTTAGAAAATATACCATGACTTATGTGTACATATATATGATATTTTTAAATATATATTTATTCTAGTTCTATATATATTCTCTAAAAAATGCGTTTCTATTCATTATATAGATGATACTATTTTTAAATTTCACTTTTGTATTAATACCACTAAAATAATCGATTTATATATGAATGCAACATTTAATACTGTGACTAAAAGACTTATTCTAATGTTATATAACATGATAAAATGAACATTCGATACATTTAATAAGAATAGAAATATGTCGTTTTTCTTAATTATGCTTAAGCACGAATAATTTAGGAAATTTTTGGAAAAATCTAGTAAAACAAAGAATAATTCATTTTAAAATAATTCATATCTATATTATCAGTATAATATACAATCAATAACATAACACAAATATAGCACAATATATATTTTTACCTTGTGTCTAATCATTACCCTTCCTGGTGTCTAATTACATAAGTTAAAATATTTTTACATCAAAATAAAATTCATACAGAATAGAAGGTAGTACTTCCATATATTTTACTATTTTTATGTATTATAATTATATGATACATGCTTGAAATATATATATGTGCGTGTTTAATTAATATAGTTACATGTAATATTCTATATGCTGTCTGAAATCAAAAGCGTAGCAATATGTGTATAAATATAAATCAGGATATTAATTAAGTAAATTCAAAAAATCACTTATAATCAATGTAATGTATATAGAATTTAAAGGAATATAAATCTTAATACTTTTTTTTTCAGAGCATAAATATATAATTCTATTATAATTAACATTTTATATATCTAATCATATTATATGATATGTGTTTGTGTTATAATAAAAATTTATATGTGCTGTTTTCACTGATTACTACTAATATATTGTATACATGAAGAAGTATAGTATATAAAATGATGTAGTAATAATTTTCTCATATAACTTCTTACATCATTTATTTAGCCCTTTTTAATATATATTAGAAATTAATTAAAAATTACTATGGCTATTTAAATTTTATTGCATTAAAATAATTGAAATTTCCAAAACGCATCACACTAATTTCTTTGTTTCATATTATTATATCTTATTCCATTTACGTTGCTATAATTCCTTGTATTATACATATTTATTTAATTAATATTATTATAGTAGTTACATATTAGATACATAGTTTCATTTATATCCTTGGAGAGGTTTAAAAATCATTCAATATAATTTACCAAAAATACATTATGAATATGGTTAATATATTAAATCTTTCTACTTATGTTTATATCTATTTATTCATAGCATAGAAGGGATGGGGATGCAACCTTATATATTATTCTTTGTCATTTTTTTCTTAAATTTCATAATTAATGTTAAATATATGCAATCATTTCAAAAATTATATTTATTTATTATCTAAAAATGCAAGTGGCCTATGATTTTTTTGTTATTTTATAATTATATCAACATTTTTTGCTCATAATTTTATTTTTTTGTTTTTAGAAATATGATACCTTAGATCCTATTATTTCACTAAGAATAAATTAAATTTAATTAATTTTTCCTATATTACAATTTTTATGAGTACTGTACTGAGATAGATATTAATTTACTGTTTTTATTATCTAACACATTGCATGCTTTTTAAAATGAATCCATAAATTTCAGAAGGTTTTTATTTTTTTGTTTAGCTCTTTCTTTAACACCCATACTCATGGTTGCAGATATTATCCAAAAACTTCGTAATAATAATAAATCAACATTATGATACCTTTTTGATTAGTATTATATCTTATATAAATTTTTTATATTAATATGTAATATAAATGTTTATTTAACATATATATAAAAAATAAAAATTACATTTATCTCTAGAGAAAATGAATATAGTTATCAATATCGCAAAAGATAAAAAAAAATATATGGATGTACTTATGTGTGTGTTTAAGTTTATACTTGTGTTTGAGCTAATTCCTCTGCTTGTGATTTCAAATATAACATCCCCCTTTAAGGCTTCGTTGTTTCGTGTTTTTGGGTAAAGTAAGATAAAATTATTTGTCCTTTTCCTATTTTATGCAATGCGTCCTCATCATTTTTATAATACTTTTTAAATTTATATAGTACTGATTTAAAACTTCTTATATTCTTATATACTTATTCTTTTAAAAATTTCATAGTTTTTTATAATTATTAAATATAAGAATAATTTGGATCAAAGGGATTATATAGGGTGCTAAAATTATTATAT